TGCATTTATTTATTTATTGTTTTTGCAGGTTTCGTCCTCCATAATTAGCATGTTGCGCAGATTGAAAAAAAATGTGGAACTACATTCAGAAATAAATGAGTGATCAAAGGAAAATAGTTAGGATGAGTTTAGCATTTCCTTAAACATTTTCCATTTGCCCACCAATTTATTTTATTTATTTACTTTCATTACATGTTTAATTATTTATTTATGTATTTAAACAAGAATACGTGTATTTATGCACACATTTATTTATTTATTTGTGTATTTATTCATTTATTGTTTTTGCAGGTTTCGTCCTCCATATGGTCCTCCATACAAACGCGATTCATTCACTTGGTGAGCATAACCGTTTTTACAGCTCTGTGACACAACCCTTCAAAAGGCTTATATAAACGCCACAGAATAAGTATTAAAAGTTCTCAGAGGTGCAACAGCGCGTTCATATGTTTTCGATACAGAGTGCAAATGGCTGTGCATTTATTTGTGTTTTTAGCTCGATGGGAGCGAAATTAAACTGTCTGAAAGCGAAACTGTGTGTGTTCCCCCCTTCCCCCTCCTCCGCTCCGCTGCGCACCACGCCCACTTTTTTTTTTTTTTTTTACAATTTTTTAAAACTGGTGAGAACTGACCAGTGCTGAAAGGGGAGTTTCGTGGATTCCACACGAGCACGACATTCTCGGCGGCCCAGGAAAGCATAGCTGTCATCTCTGGGTCTGGCTCGGACAATGCTACCGTCCCCGAAGGGAGTAACGCAGCCGAGTCATCATCCCCGGAGCGAGAGAGCCAATAGTATGTTCCTGCAGAACCGGATGCTGCAGTTTCAGGACCGCAGTTCTAGGACCCTATTCTTTTGTGACAGCGCCACCTACCGAATTGGATCACTAAAGATTGACGACATGGACAGCAATCAGAGTGAGTAACTTTACCGATTTTCAATTAAGTTTTATTTTATAACCTTAAAACGATGCAAAGATTACGTAGCCAACGTGAGAACTGCTAAGAAATAATAAT